CAATGCTGCTTACACTGAGGATGGTTTTTTCCCTTATTTCGTCCTCTTTGGAAATACTCAGAGACATACCTAGCAGTGTACTTTATTATTCTGCCAGGTACTTCTTAATCTAATCAAGGGACAATCAAGATGAATAGTTACTCAACTGTACTGTTGTGGACATAAACATGTTTGTGTTTTGGTCCCAGGTGTGGGATTCGGGACTGGTTCAGATGGTCCACAGCAGCAGACCATTTGCCTGATGCAGGCTCTGAGAAGAGCTCTTTGTCAGTTGCAGAAAGTTTGAATGTGAAGACTCAAGAGATAGAATAAATGCCAGAGCCCAGAAAGGAGAGAGGAGAAAGAACAATGCTTCTCTTGTTTCCCCTCACTGTTCCTGGTTGCTGTTGTGAGACAAGAAGTTGGAGAACTCCTGAAAGGAGGATTGGACTGGCTCCAACGAACCTGATGACCCTAACCAGCAGGAAGCAGCTAAGAGGACTACACCCCCTTTCTCATTAATCTGTTCTCTCTTCTACCTGGCACTGGGGTGTTAGAAGGGATTGGGTGAGGTAGGGAGGAAAAGGTAAGAAACAAATAAAAACTGATGCCAACACTGCACATGTATTTTAGTTGTTTCCTTTTTGAAGTTCTTTCCTTAGTGAACTGTGTGCAGATGTGATGATGACATTTCTGCCAGGGAACTCCTAATTCTCATCTTCTCCTGACATAGTGTGCTCCAGGGCCACCAAGGACCTCCAACAGTGTGGCTCCTCTAGTAACTATATGAAGCAAAGAGCCGTCTTCAACCACATTAAACACACAGTGTGAGCAAAAATTCATAAACTATGTTAAACAACGAGAATTTGAAGATGAATGTGTTGCCTCAGCATAGCTGAGTCTAATTTAAGCTCATTCAGATAGAAACAGTAAGGTAAGATGGTATATGATCAACCTCCAAGGAACTTTCCCTTCCTGCTTTTTCTCAGCTGTAGCCATGCTTATTTTCTGTCCTATCTTCACCCCATTCCTCCCTAGGTTTGTGTTGGTAACTTCCCCCTTCTCATTCATGCCACAGCTCTAGCGCTATCCCATGGATAGGAATGCTCCTAACACGTTAGGTCCAAAGTGCATAGCCCCAGACCACTCTGCCCTGTGACATGTCATTCTTACACTCCACGCAGGGTTTTTACTTACTGTCTATTGTTCCCTTGTCTCCTGACAGGCATAATGACATCAGGAAAGTACAGGGGGACTTGTCAGCTGTCTTGTTGTAAGAATTTTGACTAGCACAAACCTGATACACCACAAATAGCTGATGGATGAACAGGTGAGTGAAAGATTCAGAAAGGGGGGAAATCTCTGAGGGCTGAGTGTCCAAGCAAGGGTTTGGAAGGAGGCCAGTCACAAGGGAGTGAACACACAGAGTAGCCTGGGGTGACCATGAGTTGAATGGACTGGCTACAGTAGGAGAAAACAATGAGAAGGAGGTAGCTGAGAACCTCAAACATTGGCCCTAAGGGCAAAGGTCAACTCTCCAAGAATGTCCAGGAGTCATACCTCAAATTCAGTCTCTGAGTCAAAGATAACTGGGAAGGCACTGGCAAGCTATAGACAGATAGAGTTGAAAAACAAGGACAGAATCATGAGACTATGAGATAGGGAAATGATGGATTGACACACTTTGTCTAGCAAAGTTCCCTGCTGCTCGATGGTCTAGAATAGGAGGGAGAGAGAGCCAAGTCTGGAACTCAAATATTTTGTCTGCTGGAGCCCTGATTCAGTAGTCTCTACTACACAGCAGTAACTCCCTCTCTGAGCCTTCTGAGAACATCCAGCCTAAGATAGTCCAGAGCAGCAACCGGGCCAATATCCAAACGAACTCACTCCTGAGTGGAAACCCAGCATGCCATTACGACAGGTGGTTAGAAGCTTACACCAAAACAGCACAGGTGTCTGCATCTTCAAGGTAGAACACGAGTTTGAACCTTAGTTAAATGAAAATACATTCCCCTGTTGTGCTTATGAAGATTATATGGGCTAAAAGAAATTGTGTTTTGTGTATGTGTGTGTGTGTGTGTGGTGGTGGTGGTGGTGGTGGTGGTGGTGGTGGTGGTGGTAGGATTTCATGCATGCTAGGCAAGTGATCTTCTACTGAGCTACAGCTCTATGGTTCATAGTGCCTATTTTCTAATCTAAGTCTTTTATTTGGGTTTCCTTACGCCTCTACCTTCCTTCCGCCAGTCCCCTCCCCAACATGAAGTAGGAGAGAAAGAAGATTAGAAGGGACAGGGGTGAGGTCCTCTCTGGTTACTTTTGTGGGTCTCCTCCTACTGGGGGCCTGTCTCCCACCAGCCCAAGAAGTCAGGAGGGGCACAAGGTGAGGCGCATGCCTAAAAAGGCCAGTGAGCACTGTGCAGAGATCATACACCCCGGGAACCATGTAAGGGAGCTGGTTAACTTTAATTCCAGAGAACAAAGGCTCTATACCCCTCAAGGAGTGGGTTGGGGAGGGGGGCTCCAAGGGTAGGTGTACATAATTGGTTGGAACCAGGCACTTCAAGGTTGCTTGATTTGCATTAAACAGCACGTTCCTATCAGACAGTACCTAATTATCCTATGGGAACAGCGAGGGGAGAGCTAGCAGGGAGCTGTGTCAAAGGTCATATAGCAAATGTAGTTAGGGGAATCTTTCTAGAAACACTCTCCAGAGGAAGTCAGGCAGGGAACAGGAGGCCTGCTGGGGAGAGGGAGTCCTGCACCTTAACTGAGCTCAGAATGGCTATCTGGACTGGGAGGATTGCAACCTCAAACAGCAGGGTCCTTCCAACAGCTTCCAGCTGCTTAGGGCTGTAGGGATCTTTGGGAAAATACCAATCTCAGCCATCAGAATATGCAGTGGTCCTGCACCAGCAAAAAAGCAAACACAGGGGGATGAACAAGCAGTCTTCCTCCTCCATCCATCTCCCCAGAGTTCCTGCCCCTCTCTCTCTCTGCTCTGGCATTTATATCCTCTCCGAGTCCTCAGAATTCCACTATCTGTAGCTGGCAAAGACCACACCCCTCACGACACCATTGTTAGCTGTAGACAATCTAAGGCAACCGCACATCCCACACTCGAGATTAAAAAACAAAAACCCGTTTACATAACATAACTGAGTTTTTAAAGAAGCCAAAACTTCCACTGTGGTTCATTTCGCTCATAGCCTCAAACAATAGTTTATGTGCAGCCTTGCACATGGGAAGTGTTCACTAAATGTTTATTCATAGGTCTTATGACTATTGTCCATGTTCTCCTCTGTATTGTATAAAAAAAGATAAAATATTTATAGGACCAGGAAGAAATTTCTATGCCATCATTGGCTTCCTGCTTCTGTCATCTCCTCTTCTTGCCCTCACACTCACTAATCTTTACAGGAGCAACTGCCTCCTGCCTCTATTCCTTGACACTTCCATCCTAGCATCCCATGATCCTCCCTGAGGAGTTTGTACACATAAATATCCATCATGCAGCTCTTCAAACACTCCACTGTGGTCCTGGGTTGGAATCAACAAGGGATGTGGCATTCTTTTCTACTTCTGCTATTTCTTCCACTTGCAGAATTGCGGTCAACCGTAAGGCCCTACCTTGACCCTGGCATCTCTCACAGTTCCCTCCTCAATTAAGAGAAGGGAGACATAAATGTGCTATGCCCTCTCTCCCCTAGATATCCAGCTTGGTTCTTCCACTCCGCTGGCATTTACAGCCACAAAAGTTCTCACAGCAGTTTAAGTGGCCCACAAGCTCCTTCTCACTGTGCCTTTCTGATCTCTTACTTCCTTGGCATTTCCTCGGTTTTCTTCTTTGCCAGGAACTTCCCATCTGCTTGTCATTCTCCCCTCCCTCTCCCAAGCCTCCCCGGGTACTCTCGAGAGTGGGATGGTCTCCCTAACTGTTCCGCAGGATGTGGTACAGCATTATTACCAGAGGTGCTAAGGTGGCAGCACCATCTGAATGTTCTTAAGGAGCCTATGGAGGAACACAAGCAATGCTACATGGGTAGATGCTCTGAGGGAGAAGGGCTGTCATTCCTATTCAGAGGGTAAACTCCTACCCCAGCAGGGACCACAAAGGTGGGTGCCACTCTGTGAACTTCATGCAAGAGGCCATGCTGCAGGGGACACCTACAGAGATGCTCCCAGAATTCTCAGAGCCTCAAACGAATGCTGAATTGGTTATCACCCTACCAAGGCACTGGATTGAACATCATGCTAGACTCAACTTCCCTAGAAGGTTAATGGGAGTCTGGGATGCCCAGTCCCTAAAACAGAGAAGGAACCCCCAATTCAAAGAGAAAGGGGGTACCTCCAGGCCACCAAGATTAAGCAGAACATGGAAGGGACTCTGTGTTGGCCCTCCCCCACCTAATGAGCAGGAATGCCTGAATGTGTCTCACGCGACAGCAGGTCCCGGCTCAAATGACACATCTGAATGTGGAGGCCATGACATTTTCCTCACTGGCCTAAAGCTTGGGAAGTTTGATATGCCTCTTTGAAGTCTGCTTAGAGCCTGGGGAATGTGCGGGTTTGAGAGGATAGATAAGACCCTCTTGGGCTCAAGTATCAAGAAGCCTTTCTTCCCTTTATACATGCTTCTGGGAAAATGAGGACGGCTCAAGTCCTGTAATTTCTAACAGGAAATGTTGACTCTGCCTTACTTCTATGTTGGGTTTTTAAAAAAAAAAAAAAAAGACCTCATAGATTAAAGAGAGGGGAGAGTGAGCTCTCTGTCACATGAGGCAATCAATACAGGCTTTTGGTCTTCAGAGCATACGCAGTACAAAAAGGATTCCTGCTGGCTTAAGGGAGGCCTCTTGGCAGGCAGCGAAAGCCATCATACTTCTTCTTTCTTACAACCCCAAATCACAAACTCCTGTTCCACCCCATCTGTCATTTAGGGGTCATTCTTATCAAACGCCCTGCACACCTTGGACTGACCACTTCAAGATGGCCCAAGACAGGGAGGCTTTGAGACACGGTACCGATTTTGGTGAGCCACTTGGCCACAGCACCATAGATCTCATCCAAGATGAGGATGACCACAAGGTTGATGATGACTGCTGTGGCAGTCACCGTGACTCGGACATTGGAGCGCGTGGCCTTGTTGAAAGACAGGGCAGCTGCCGTCGTGATCCGATACACAATGACCCCAAAGACAATGGAGAATGTCAGGGTGATCTGTTCAGAGAAGACAGGAGAGGGGGGTAGTTACTGAGCAGGAAAGCACATCAGCAGTCAACTATTGAGCACCTACTGTTTGCTTACATCAGCTGTTACTAAGCTCTAGTTACCCAGTACCCACAAAGGCACTGAGTTCTACACAGATGTAGCTTTCTGAGTATTAACACATTGTTCAAGGCAGAACATCCTCAACTTTTATTAGATCCCAACAGTCTAAAACACACAACACAAATAAAGATGAGAATTCTGAACATTATGAGTGTAAAACACATTCTGTGATTTTTTCCATTCTATCTACTATGGAGATAAGATGTTCTCCTTTCACGTCACAGGAACAGGTGTGAGAATATTAAGTGCTAAATGAAGACAGCTGCCGAGGAAAATGCAGCATGCAGATCTGGTTGTTCAGAGGACAGTGTGGAGGAAGTGAACTTCAAGTTGGACCACCCGTTAAAGGAAATGGGAGCCAGTGAAGATGTCTGAGCTGAGAAGGGATGAGTTACAGCTTGAAAGATGAAAGAAGGGTGAGCACAAAAGAGGAAAAAGAGATTAATGTGAGTGGTGTTTGCACAGGATGAAGTGAGAAAAAGCACTGAGTTCTCTTTCAGGCACCTTGGAACGGAAGGCATGGATTCAAATTCGGCATGCAAATCTCTTGCCACTTTCTCCCAGCCCCTAAATCTCTGAGGTCCACATTACCTCTTCTAGAACCTAAGAACAAGGGATTTTCCTGGACCAAAGGCACCAGCCCTTTCCCATGTCCTCTCTACTATTCCTTTCCCCACCCCAGCCAAGGAAGGGGAGTTCCCAGGAAGTACCAGGATGCCATGAGCAAGAGTTCCTAATCCAGGCTCAGCAAGAGGCAGAAGGAGGGAGGCATCTGTCAGGAGCAGGGCCCATCCTGCCCTTCACCACTGAAGCAAATCTGAATTGGCTTCAGAAAAGGGAAGTCATTTTTTTCACCATTGCTGCCAATGAGACTGTTCAGGTACTGGTTGGTGTCTAGTGTAGAAGGGACAGGGCACTGGCTGTTTAAAACATGGGGTGAAAAAAGGGCAGGTGGAAGTTTCCCCCGGAATATGAAAGAATGCTGGAGAAGACATTCAGGAGGGGAGGGGTGCAGAGGATTGCAGAGGGCTGGAAAAAGAGGTCTGGACAGCACTTCGCAGGCAGTGGGAATGACACTCCAGTGGGCAGGGAATGAGTTACAGATGTGTTAGCATATGGACCCATGCAGGCCTCTGGGGTGCCAATGTGCTGAAGCCTGGGGTGCTAGTGAGGGACTGGGCTGCCTAGCCTGGTATGCTTTATAAATGTTAGCATTTGTCCTGTGGACCATGGTGTAAGAAAGGCAGGGGGGCGGAGGCCTTTTATGGTCAAGGAAGAGTGTTTCAATGTGTGCAGATGTGTGTGTGTGTGTGTAATGTGTATGCAGCAGCAACACCGGACTGAAGAACAACAGAGAGACAACTCTTTTGAGTGTGAAACCTGGACATGACATCATACTGTTCTACCAATATAGATGATTCACTTCCTGGTCCTCTGGGACTGTCACTGCCTGACAGTTAGAGCCTGGAAAATGTGGTGTGAGATTCTCTTCCTTCCCCCACCCCCACCTCAAATCACTTCTACAGTGACGACTGGTGATCGGAGTATTGATGAGGTGGCAAAGGCTGGGCATGGAGGAGCAGGCCAATGTGTGTGTGTGTGTGTGTGTGTGTGTGTGTGTGTGTGTGTGTGTTCATTTGGTTTGGTGTTGGGATCATGGGGGAGGGAGACAGAGAAGAGATCCTCTCCTGGGCTTCTCTGAGGCCAGGATGCTAAGTGCAAATGGAGTGAGTATGGTGTATTCCCTTGCCCTAGAGGCTGCGTCAGCTGGAAGCTTGAATAAGATGCAGACTCTCAACAGAACTCTAGACCCTGACATACAACCCATAGAGTGAAAGGGTTCCCAGTCGAAGCCGGAGACACTACTATTCTCACTTGGTCTTCCTCCAGCATCACCCCAGACACCATCCCTAGCCTCTGCTTATTCTTGGCAACCTTAGATCATTCTGGTATTGAGTTTCTACCCCATGGTAGAAACCAGGCTCTAAGTCTCTCCACTGAGCTTTCCTAAAGCATCTCTAGATCCGTAGCTTCCAGGCTGATCAGACTTGGAGAGCAGCAGCCTGAATGTTTTGCAAGAAAACAGCAGGTGTGGAAGAAAGAAATTATTTACTCTTAGCTACAAGAGCTGTGTTATCCTCCATGACTCCCAGATCCAATGGGAATGAAAGAATTACAGCGTTTAGGGATCATCTACCTATAACCTTTAGTCTTATGCATAAGGAAACGGAGGCCAAAGCAGCAGAAATCTGATTGGCCCAGAGTTTGGAGGGTACAAGGCCAAGCAGAGGTGCTAGTGGATAATGGTGACATCACCAACATCACTTCCCTACTGTATCTTCTCTGTGTCACTGTTCAAAGCACATCTTCACTTGAGCTAATCCTTACAACTACCATCTCTTCTGTATGTGAGATTTCATGATGATCATGGCTGGACCCTGCTATGTGGAACCATGCTCACATTCCCATTCTGACATTAGATCTCAGACCTCTTGCCATTAACTCCAATGTCATTCTGACCATTTGTGGTTGAATTGTTGAATTTGGAGGCATTCAGTAATATCTCTGATAAGTTATCCTGTAAGGCACTGCACTGGGACACTCATGTTTCGAGTCCATCTCTCACAGCTAGGGTAAAGGTGCCAGTTTATGGCTAAGGCTATCCCATAGCAGTGCCCAGTAAATGGAGCCAGCTTGCTAAAGATTTGTGGATTTTCAGCTACAAATGACTTATATACACTGCACAAGGACACATTCTCCAAGCCCTTGTGGGTTTTGGTATTTTAATGTGCTGTGCTGTGAATGTGAAGTGTCCCCCACAGGCTCAAGTGTTAGAACACTTGGAAGGTTGTGAAACATTTAGGAAGGTGGGGTCATGCAGGAGGAAGTAAATCACTGGAGGTGGGCCTTGAAGAACGCTGGCCTGGCTCTACTTCCTGTGTTCTCTCTGTTCCTGGCTGTAGATACAGTGTGGCCAGCCACCATAAATCCCTGCCATCATACCTTTCCTGCTCCCGCAGACTACATCCCTTCTTAAAGTAAAAGGAAATTAAAACAGGCAAAAACAAACAAAAATTATTACCTTTGTCCTAGTTGAGTTTAATTAATCTAGTCAGTATAACCTAGAAGAAAGCCTTGGCTGAGAATCTGCCTAGATCAGATTGACCTTGTAGAAATATCTTTGAGAGATTGTTTTGATTCTTTTTTTATTAATTATTTTCATTTTTATTAATTACAGTTTATTCACTTTGTATCCCCCCTGTACTTCCCTCTCTCTTCCCCTCCCAATTCCACCCTCCCTTTTCCCCACTGGTGTCCCTCTCCCAGTCCACTGAAAAGGGAGATCCTCTCCCCTTCCCTTTGATTCTTAATTAAAGCAGGATGACCAAGCCCACTATGGGAGGCACCATCCCTAGGCAGGTGGTTCTGAGATGGTGTAAGAGAGCTAGCTTAGCATATGCTGGAGTGAGCAAAACAGAACCATTTCTCCACCGTTTTTCCTTCAAGTTCCTGCTTGAGTTTCTGCCATCATCAAGATATTTGCTGTGGCCTGCAAATATAAGCTAAATAAACTCTCTCCTCTCCTGAGTTGCTTCTTGTTGGTGACTTCTCACAGCAACAGAAAGGAAACTGGAGCACTCTTTTTCCTATAAGTTGCTTTCTTGTCAGAAACTCCATCCGAGACCCGAGGAAAAGACTATCTAATATAGACTGTAAGCTTCGACAGAGTTAGAGATTATAAAAGTGATAGGAAGGAGAGACTGCCTGGTCCCCACCCTCCAGGACCTGCATTCTGAACTGAAGTTGTGAAAATCACTCTACACATGTAACAAGGGTGAACTGGGAAGCAGCTGATCTGAGTCCCAGGCTTTGGGTCATGAGCTTCTGGTATGCTCTCACAGAGAGCAGCAGAGAGGACAAGAAAACTCTGCTGATGCTTGGAGAATTTTGCTAGGGGAAGAGCTTGGAGAAGGAATATGGAGAAGGAAGAACTTTCTAGAAAGAAGGAAGGGAGAACTGCAGAAGCAATGGCTCCTAATCCAGTGGGACAATGCTCAGCCTGGGGCACAGGAAGTTACAGTAGCTTCTGTAAACACACGCAAAAAACAGCTTTGTCACTGTGCCACAGCTACCTCTGACATCCTTCTGATTAATTAGTTTATTGCTCAGTCCTAACAGCTGTCTCAAGGCCAGGGGTCATGGAGTCAGCTGTGAGCAAAATAAAAGGTAACTAACCAACTGACAAACTAAAAAACGACTTCCCTTGTGGAGCTGATCTTGTAATTAAACAATAAATACGTAAACTACATTGGATCTCAAACTGCCAATCCTGGCTTCAGTCCCACTAGAGTGGGATTTACCAGCATGTACCACCATGCTTGGGAACTTTTCTCAGTTCCACACCACTTGCAGATTGTTTCTGGTAAGCTCTCAGAGTGAATCCAGCATCAGAGGACACCCCACCTACCCTTTTGAATGGCTGCAGCAGCTCCCTGCCTGACGCTCCCTCTCCCCTACTCTCGCTTTCCTTACCAGGATTTCTCACAGCAGCCTAGAGACTCTCTGAAGTGCATGTCAGACTACGAGACTCCTCTGCAAACCCTCCTCTAGGGAGTACCCATCTCCAAAAGGGTGAGCCCATTCCTTGCTCTACTCCTGGCTCCCTATGGCCTTCCGGGATGTATCTCCCAGCCACATCCTATCCATTCTTGTTTGCTGCCCTTTTTCTCAGCAGGCATCCCACCCGGTACCACTATATTCTGGGGTTCTTTTCCTCACTCTTCCCTTTCACTTCAAAATATCAATGTGGCTGGTTCTCCTGTTACAGATCCTTGCTAAAATTTTAATGGAACTTCCTTACTTGACTTATTTAATATGCATCTGTGATTTTAAACTTTATTGGAACTTACTAAACATTGCATCACACAGAGAGAGAGAGAGAGAGACAGAGAGAGGGAGAGAGGTAAAAACAAGCTCCAGCATATCCTGCCTACCTCACATCAAACTGCCAATCTCTCGTCCAGACTCTTCCTTCAGTAGTGCTGACAGGTTACTGAGTTGGAGGGAAGCCATTTCCTTCTTTACCTTTGTTAAGCTATAGGCCGTACCATCTAGGCTTGCCTCTTTTTTTGGCACCCCTGTTGCTCCATTTCATGATTCAGCTTGTTCATTTTCGCGGCTATGTGGTCCTTAGCTGTGTAAATAGACCTCGGTTTATTTATCCATTCTCGTGGGGATAGGCATGTGGACTGTTAGCAGTTTGGGGCTATTATATAAACAGTGTTTCATGGGCTTTTCCGTGTCCACATGCTGTGTGTGCACGTAAGGTTTCCCGGGGCATGCAGCTAGACATGGAATTTCAGGGCCCTGGGCTTTAAGCCTCAGTTTTACTAAGCAATGCCAGAATGTATGTAGAGGCATCTTTAAATAATTTCTTAAATGAACTCCCACCAGCACCTTACACATTTCTTTTGATCTAGGTCTTTCCTAACACTTGTTATCGACAGACTTCTTAATGGCAAGTTGTCTGTTGGGTGCCTATGATGTTTCACCATGGTTTAAATCAGAATTTCCATGAATACTAATGAGATAGATGGGTCCTCTTTGGGAGACTTATTGGCCATTGGAGTTCTCATTTGTGAAATGCCTATGGAGGCAGTTTGTTAAGTTTTTATTGAGTTATCTTTTTTTTTCTTGAGTTTGTAATTATATATTTTGAGACCAACTTTTGGTGAGTTACAGTTTTTATGAATGCATGAATGTACGCTCCCCAATTTTGAGCTTGCCACAGGCCTTGTTTTCACCCTTCCTGCTTCCCATGAAACCACCCAAGCCAAGGCCTTGCCTCAAAGGGGAAAAATGTCCTTAAAGTGAAAGTAGCATCCTCGCAGAGACATCTGCTCTGTTGTTCCTACATTTCGTCTAGATGTTAGACCAGTGTTAATACTATCCTGGCAGCCTTTAACAAAACTAGAGAATATAATGATTCAGCATTTTCTACTAAATTCAGCAAAGTGGATACTACAGTCCTAACCTACCACTACCAAAGGTGGAAGGTGATTTTATTATTTATTGACTTAGCACATGTACTGTGTTTTAAAACACCTTATTTTCAGTCCAGGATGGTCTTGAACTCAAAATCCTCCTATTACAGCCTCCCAAGTACCAGGGGTATGGGTGTGCATCTCCACTCTTGCCTTGTCTCTAAACATTTATTCTTATTACTTTCCTTTATTCTCTGTTTTGTCTACTTCCTAAGAATAGTGATAAGCGCACAGCTGCACTCATTAAATACTTCTTGGGTGAAGAATAAACTTCCCAATAGTGATATGCACCTTGTGGGATCCTCTGAAGCACTATATCGATTAAGCTTTCTAGCATCACACTTGAACACACCACAGCAACCTGCACTCTTGAATAACCTTCCGTGCCTTGGGCTTGTTTGGCAGCAAGAGGAAAACAAATTTAGACTGCTAAGCTTTGACAACTCTTCCCTTCCTCTATAGGATGAGGACTTGAGTTTGATGATGTCTAAGCTAAGACCATTTATGTTTTGGACAGGGTCTCACTACATAGGCCAGGCTGGCCTCAAATTTGAAATCCCCCTGCCTCTACCTCTAGAATGCTGGCATTACAGAAACGTGGCACTAGGCCTGGCACATTTTAAACTTCCGAGGCTACATGTTTCCTGTTCCCATTAATTATGATGCCAATATAATATAAAGATTATAAGCTCAAGCCAGGCCAGGATTAATTCCTGCCAGTGGGCTCAGAAAATCATAATGATTCGAGCAGTTTTTAAAAATCAAATAATCCCCTTCATCTCTACCATGCATATACTGTCCTGCTCACAAACACTGAGCTGTTAGGCCCACAGTCTTCTTAGCTACACGGAGCAGAGCCTCACAGTGAAGAGGGCCTGATGTTAGTGGTCCTCTGATGGTTTTCTCTGAGGTCTTCTGGCTTAAGTTGCTAATCTGACTCCACCATCCATCAAGCTCAGGCTCTTCCCTCCAATGCCAACATCATTAAGTCTCAAAATAAACAAACAAACAAATAAAAAGTTCTCACAATCATAGGAAAATAAAGGGGAAAAAAATGCAGTGTCAACCGAGATGCTAAAGACTTTGAGCCTAGCTGGCCCTCTTCTGTGGCTTCCAGAGACAAAGCCACTCTCGATCCCCCAAGGGCTACCACTGACTATGCAACCAGCTCCTCTATATTACTTCTTCAAGTTCTTGGCTGGGCCAAGAGCATATCCAACACCCAGGACATTCAGTTTCAGCCATATACAGTCAGTGGCCTCAGAATCGGAAAGTTCTTGCTCCACCATTCCGTACTGTGGCCTCACCTTTTATTCTACAGCAAAAGGAAAAAATGCCCACAGTACACACACACACACTCACAACAGGATCAACATGCATGCAGCCCCAGGCAGGTGATCCCTCAAAGAAATTACCATGAACAAGATGGAGGCGAAGTTCATCAAGTATCCTGGGAAACGGTCTTTCCAAGTCAGTTTATCTTCATCATCCTGGGGTGAAACAGGAGAGTAAAAACAATCAGAACACATATTCATTCACCCCCGTTTTATATAAATTTGCACATCAACTTTTGTTGCTTTATGGATAATTCTGTAGTAACTGGTATCTTCCTACTCTTAACATCAACAGTAGCCCTCTTAATTTTGATCGGTAGCAAACACCTGAGATCCCAGGACTCAGGATGCTGAGGCAAGAGAACCGTGACTGACAGGCCAGCTTGGGTACAAAGAGAGGCCCTGTCTCATAGCCCTGAAGATGCTTCCAATTGAGACAGCAAGTCTGACGTCCACAAAAGACCCTGAAGACTGTCTGAAGCCATGTCTGTGACGTGCAGAGAGAATGGGAGAGAACACAGTGCGAGCCAGCAGGGAGCCATTCATCACTGTAAGCAACAAGTCGGAATCAAACTTAGCTCAGCAGGCCCCCAAGCCCCTGCTTCCTTTCCTCTCCCTTCCCTTGCTAGCCTTGCAGAACAAACCTGATTTGGCTCTAGCAACAGTGCCATCTAGCCTCTGAAAACTTGTATTGTAAGCTGAGCACCTTCTGGGCCTAACGCTTCTTTCCAGCATCTTTTGTGTGCCCACATCAGTGGCAGGCACACTGAATAGACTGAAGAAGGCCCCTAGGATCAATCTTCTGGAGTTCACAACCCAGAGAAACAGATGACACCCACCCACTCACAAACAGTGAAGAATCACCCATCAGCTCAGGGGTGAGGACTAACTAGGGAGTGAGCTATGGGGACTGTCGGGAAAGAAAGGATTTGCCTTGTGTATTTGGAGCAAGTGTAGGGTTGAGCTGACTTGGTGGATGATGCTGGACTCATGTTAGGACTGAGGTCATTTAGTTCTTAGTACTTTCACTTGGGTATGATATATTACACACACACACACACACACACACACACACACACACACACACACTCAGGTTTTCATAGTAGCCAGAGAATCTGGTCCTAAACCCCTGCTCTAATGGGCTTATTGTCACACCATGAGAACAAACTAAATTCTAGATGGTGACCATCAGAAGAGGGAGAGGGCTATGATAGGGATGTAAAGTGAATACATAAATTAAAAAAAAAAATTAATGGGTTCTGGGATGGAACTCGGGTCCCCATACTTCTAGAGCAAGAGGACAGACAGCCATCTCCACAGCCCCACAGCAGTTTCTCTGCTGTAACATACTCAAATCCCTTACTTGTAAAACAATTATAGGCATCACACTGAATTAGCGTGCCTTTTAAATAAAGCCCACCAAAGAGAACTGCAGGAGTACCGTACCCCTCTCTGCCTGAAATGTGGTGATGTGAAAGGTACTGTGTGGGCCCTGTGAGTGAATGCACGTGACAGAGCTTTAGAGACTGTATGGTGCAAACAAAGGTGAGCTCTAATTAGCTTTGATTACATCAAAAGCAGGTGATTATGGGGCACTCAGCTAATGTCGCCATTGTTCAGCCAGCCTAGCTGCCGCCTGCTCTTTCTTCTTTGTCTCTGCTGCCTGTGTTTGTGTCCCTGGACAACTGCTCCCACCTACAGGTCTCTGTCCAACAAGTAGGACAAATAACACCCACATAGGACCTCACAGGTCCCCCTCCAGCAAACTGGGTATTTGGAGATAAAACCGCTTAGAAAGTAATAGGTGAGAATAGTATTTCAATAAACCCCTTGGAGGAAAGGGACTTTGAAAAATTGGCACCTGTTCTTATTTTCTTAATGTTAAAATTAATATACTAAAACATGATAAAATAAAATATAATAAAAAATATAAAACGAAATTCATGGTAAAAGTCATCTTTTTTAGAATGCAGTTCTGCATATTCTGATGACTCCATGCAGTCATGTATCTACAATACCAATACACATCAAAAATAGAAAATTATTTTTATCACTTTTCAACATTTCCCTCCTTCGTCTTTGATCTCTGTCTCCAGTCCCCAGAACTAGCAAAGTCTGTTTAATGTCCCTCTAGTTTTGGGTCCTTTGGGATGTCACTGTGTATACCTTGCTGTGCCACTCTTCTTGGGTCTGGCATCTTTAACTCGGCACAGCTCATCAAAGATTTATCCAGGCTGTTGCATTGCTCAGTAGTTTGCTGCTTTCACTGAGGGATGGCTGAAGGTTTCATCATATGGATGGACTTCAGTCCATTCACCCATTCATTGCCCCAGGGAATGTTTGGATTGTTTCCAGCTTGTAACAATTAGGAATGAAGTCCTTCCAAAATTTGTATACCCGTTCGGATACAAAAAGAAAATTTCGTGTCACTTGGGCAAGTATAGAAGTAATGAACTTGCTTCATCCTGTAAGTCTATGTGTGACTTTATAAGAAGCCACCAAGCTGTACTCTAAAGAGCTCAGTGCACCTCCATCAATAGCGTGTGATAGCTCTGTTCTTTTTTTAAATAAATTTTCTTTAAAGAGGTGTTTTCTTTCCTTTCTTTCTTCCTTCCTTCCTTCCTCTTTCATAACTTATAAAAAGACAAAGACAACACAGAGAATTCTATATATCTTGATTCCGATTCTCATGTAAGTTCAGTATGTTTTTCACAACTCATAAACCAATATCACACAATATTATGAACTAAAAGTTTACACCCATTTGTATTGCCTGCCTCCTTAGGTCCAGGGTTGGAGCTAAGGTACCAAATCCTATTTGGCCATTCTTTCCACTGAGGTGCTTTAGGTGTAAAAGCCTCCCAGACCTTGCTCACCATCAGTGGCTTTGTCAGCTTTGAGACATGCTGGGCAAGTGCTTTGTGGAAGGACTCATAACATGATCGTGTTTTAAACTTGTCAAAGTTATATTTGAGGGTGGATGACAAGAGGTCAAAGAACATTTTGCCACATCTTCCCAAGGGTTTAGACAGTGATATGCCATTTTACTCATGCTGATAACCCTGATTTCTTGGTGGGATTTCCTGGGGTATGTTAAATTTCTCTATTTGAAAGTTTCCTCCTCACCCCACCCCCATTTCTGTACTTTGCTCTTTAGATGGAGGTGCCCATCTCCATCTTTGAAGGTATAGAATTATATTTCCATCTTTGAGGAACCAATATCTATAAACACAAGTAAGCTTTTAGTATACACTTTTAATCTATTGAGTGTCTTAGAGAAGGCCTATAGGTAGAGAGGCCAATCTCTCTCCAAACTCTTAAAAAACAATAAAACACAAAAAAATGAAGATGATAAATGTCAAGCTATCACGAAGCCTCATGCTCAGCTTAGAATTGGCTTTGGCCTTCAAAGAAAACAATATGTTGGCTTCTTCCCTTCTCTTTCATCCAGGATGCCGACAAAGGACAGAGAGCAGGCAGCAGCAACATCTGGGCTTGTCTGCCTCCTCACCTGCACGCTACGAACAAGAGGGTTTGGTATGGGAATAGATTGTCTTTGTTAAAATAATCATATATTGAGCCTGTGTTCCTGAAAGTATTTGGGGACAGTATTAAAAAGAGGGAGAAGATGCAATAGATTTAAAAACTCAATACTTAGCTCTCCTCCCTGTGTCCACCTCTGTATTAGTTAAGCAACTTCGGGAGCTGCTCATGTCCAGTATAAACAATAGTATAGTTTCGTCTAGAAGGAAGTAAGTGGAAAATCTGTCCTACTGAGCACTCAAGGAGAATATGGTGGATGTGGCAGCCCTTGGAGAATAGCAAGTTCTGTGTTGACAACTTGGGAGTTGTGTCTCCTCTACTCAGGATGATGACTGCATATCAGAGCGCACTAGTGCGAAGGACTGGAGACACAAAGAACTAACTTTTTTTTTTTTTTAATTCATAAGAAGCCCTGACTGTGAGGGAGTAAAGGGCCTATGTCAGCTCACAGCCCATCGTCCATCATGAAGGGAAGTTAGGGCAGGAACTGTGGCAGTGGGCTGGGTTTTCTCACATCAATCATTAATCAAGAAATATCTTCACATATTTGCCCATAGGCTAATCTGATGGAGGCATTTTTCTCAATTGAAGTGCCATTGAAGTGCCATCTTCTTGCCATCAACTTGTGCCAAGTTGAGGGGGAAAAACAAACAAACAACAACAACAACAAAAAAAAAAAACCCAGCACTTCTTGTTCTGAAGCACTGAGACATCATAGTTTTCATGACCATCAGATGGGGTCAGGGTACTAAGAGGTAGGGTATAGACAGAATCAGTATCTTAGGAAAAGGAAAAGGTCAAGTGCCGGAGCATGGTGCATGTCTGGCTACCAAGCAGAGAAGCAGAGGTCAGAACAGAATGCTACTTGCGAGCAGCAGCTAATCTGTGATCTAATGCCGTGCTGGCAGAGATTTTATGAAATAGTCAGTTTCTTGCTTTCTCAGAGCAGCCAGTAGTTCAAGGAAAGAAGCAATGTCCCCATGGAGAGCCAGTTTCCTGAGCCTTTGGCCTACAACAGGCCCCAATCTTTTTGCTCAGCTCTTTGGAAGGCTGCTGCTGGCTGATTCTTTCATAATGAAGGGTTGCTTCTGTATTTTTAACTCTAAATAATGTTTAGAGGCCTTTAAACCATAATTCGGATTTAACGCCACACAGAATTTATTCTGATTGTGGTTAGAATTAAAAGCAACACTCTGTGCATTCACTTCCATGTTGTTAGAAGAGAGGGGCCGAGGTGCCCTCTGTCTTCTATCTTTAAGCCACATCTTCTCTCTATAAAATCCTCTCATTCCAAGTGCCTACCATTCATTCTCACATCCCTAACTGTAGTTATCAACTGGACTGCCATCTTCCTTTCCTGCCTCAATCCTGCCACTCACAAGCAACTCAGACTAAGAAACATTTTTTTAAGTGTCACTCCCTATGCAAAGCTCTGGCATCTTTAATGTTCTTACTGTCAACTTTATTTTCTACCGGCTAGTGTTTTGGACCAGCATCTCCTCTGTATAAGTAATGCTGTCCAGAGCTTGCCAGTTCCATCAGGCCTAGTGGTACACACCTGCATCTCAGCATTGGGAAGCAGAAGGAGGAAGATCAAGAAGTCAGAGTCACCT